AATCGGGTTTATGCCAAGAGAAGTGACCATGCATGTGGAACCTGAAGAGTTCCCAACTCATCCAGACGTTTGTATATTGATGACAGCAGGACAGAGGAAGGAGGAGATACCAGGAAAAGAGCATAGCTAGGGAGGGGGAACGTGCAGTAAAGGTGTGAAAAGGACAAAAGCCCTCCCAAAGGGGAGGAGCAAGGCTATGCAAAAGCCACATTCTTTGCCCTTGTAGAAGCCTCCCAATTGGTTTCTCTGGTTCTAGGCTCTCTCCTCCGAACCATCTTCCACACAGCCGTCATAATAATTTTCCTAAAACACAGATTTGACTATGTCACTCTCCTGTCCAGGAATCATTAGTGGCTGCCCCTTACCTTGAGAATAAAACAGATATTTCACTAAGCATCTTGCAGTCCAAAATAATTGTTTTCCAGTTTCCACTCATGTGCCTTTTTATAGACTGCACACATGCATACACACACACACACACACACACACACACACACACACCCCTGGAATGCATTAGTCCTTGCCTCTACCTCTTGGAATCAGTCTTGAAATTGGAAAGTCTTATTGGCTTTTGAGGTCCCACTCAGACGTCATCTCTTATGCAAAAGCATTCCTAAAATTCTCATACTATATTCAGTTGTTTTGCCTTTTTTAACTAGTGGAATATAAGCTCCCTGAGAGCATGGATGCTCTTCTGGGCTATCTTTGCATCCCCATTGCCTAACACAGTGGTTTGCACATTGTAGGCATTTAATAAATGACTTTTGAAATGAAATTAAGTTATGTGGGGTTTCACATGTTACAATGAACTACAGGGACTGTCTTTTGCCTTTCCTTGTATTCATAGCACTTAGCAGAATGCCTGGCACAAAATAGATGCTTAATAAATGATAGCTGACTGACTTCGACTGACCAGCAGATGGATAGTAAACCCCTGGGGGGAAAAAGTTAAAAACTTCTTGTCTTTTATAGGGCTCTGATTATCTCCAGCGTCAGAACAATAGCTAACATCTATAGAGCACTTGCTATGAGCCAGACACTGTACCAAGCATTTTACAATCATCTCATTTGATTCTCACAACCACCCTGGGAGGTAGGTGCTATTATTATTAAACCCATTTTACAGATGAGGAAATTGAAGCAGACAGAGGTTAAGTAACTTGCCCAGGGTCACACAGCTAGCTAGCAAGTGTCTGAGGCTGAATTAGTACTCTGTTCTTCCTACCTCCAGCCCCAGCACTCTGTGCACTTCAAAACCTAGCTGTCCCTGAAGTTTCTACCCTAAGAACTGGCCACCCTCTTTAAGCACTTGATTGTGATTTAGGGCACTTGATTGTGCCTTTAATACAGAATTTGTTCTTAAACAATCTAATCCAGAATGTGATTTCCAGGGACAAGCAAGCAAGAGCACATTGCTGGATTTCAAAGAACTATCAGAAACATTTCTTTACTGCAGCAATCGAAATCCATTATTCCTCCAAAAGCATTTAGTTAAACTTTCAGAAGAACCCAGAGCAAGAGGCTAAAGTGGAAGGATGAAATATTCGATTGCAGTCAAACTAAAATGAAATAAACTCACAAAGGAAATTAAGAGCCAAGTTTCTGCATCCCAGAGAGCTCACATTGATGTTGGGATGTGTTTTTCTTATAATGGTTTTAGGGCAACCATAGTGAAAGTACTAAAACTATAAAGATAAGAAAGTTGGAAATGTTCCTGCAGGGCTCTTTGGCTTTGGGAAAGAAAAGGCAATCATTAAGCAATATATTTTTCCAAGTTAACACCTTCCAGGTTGTTAGTCTGCATGAGCACATCCATTAGGCTGGTTTATCCAAAAGCTTTATAGCCACGGAACCCTACTATAAACCAGTCATTTGAGTAATGACCATTTTCTAAGTGACATCATAAACAGATCCTCCTTTTACCTCCCAGCTCCAGCTCCTTCTTCTTTCTCCCCTGCCTCCACTCCTTGTCCCATCTCTGCCTCAGATCCCCCTTTTCTCCCTCCCTCCCACCCTGGCTAAGCACCTTCTCCTGGGCTAGCAAAGGAAGGTAGCACCTACAGAACCAGTAGGATCAAAAATGACCTTTGGATTGGAGAAAAAAAAAAAGCTGTATGCTATGTGCTGTGAATTGTGCTTATCACTGGGGATGGACAACTATTATCAGTCCTTCAGCATAAAAATCAATAATTTAATAATGAAATAGTTATCAATTCCAGCTATACAGTTCAACAGTTTAAAATAATGAAATACAGTTATCAATTACAGTAATAGAGAAATAGAGTTTAAAATAGTGAAATACAGTTATTGATTACAATTATAGTTATACAAATACAGCTTAAATAATGAAATACAGTTATCAAAATATTTCCTTTCAAAAAAGACCCCACTTGTGAACACGTGACTACATAAAGGAAACCTCTTCATCTGGCACCATGGATCCTGACCTAATCCTTGTATCAGCCCCTCTCACTGGCCAGGAGAGGCCTGGTGATGCCCTGCAGAATTTCTCCATTTCTCATTCTCGCCCTCATTGTTCCTGCTCAGATGGGACCATGGAGCACAAGAACCCCCCTTCACTCCCATTACTAGGGACACCTACTTCTCTCTCCGGCAAGGGCAGTTCTCTAGCATGTGCCCACAATGCCTGGAGTGCCTGCATCTCTGTCCTCTTCTTCAGGTGAATGGTCACATTCAATTGCTGCCTTCCAGGGAAAGCACTTCTCAGAGAGTCTGTGTCTTCTTTTGATTTCCGCTTATGTTAAATACTAATGAAAAAAAATACACTTCCTTTAGTTTGTTGGGGGAATAAATTGTTCTTAGGAAGAATATGAGGAATGTTACCAGTAGGGGAAAAAATTCCCTGGCCTTCCAAATTGGAGGCTAGGAAATGATAAATTAACCTTAGGGGCCAAAGTTGGGCCATGGTATCAAGGACAAGAGGATACCCTGCTCCCCCAAACACACTCCCTGACACAATAAACCTCTCCCTTTCACCTGTTGCCTGAGGCCAGCATAGGCCACGTCTCTCCTTTTTTCAGTTCTGGAGTCAATTTACTGTACATTTGCAGTGTCTGTCCAAGATTTCATTTCAACATACACATATGTGAAAGATATGTGTGTATGTATATATAACATACACTTATATAGGTGGATGAGTTATATGGATTTATCAATCCAATTGCATATCATAGTTTGTACAATAGGCATTTCTCATCCACTTGGTTTTTTCTGTGTAGATAGACCAAATTCTTTTGAGTGACTATAGATCTCATTTAGAAGGCTGTACAACATTCCAGGGCTTAGTTCAATCAGCACAATGTCATAGGCAAATAGGAGTTTCTGGAAGATCTCACCAATGGGCATTTCTGAACTTTAGTTTCCTCATAATAATAATAGTTAACATTTACATAGCACTTTAAGGTTTAAAAATCATTTTCCTATGTTATCTCATTTTTCACTCACAACAGCCTTGGGAGGTAGGTGCTATTATTCTCCCCTTTTCATAGGAGGAGAAACTGAGACAAGCAGTGGTTAAATGACTCGCCCAAGGCTACGTAGCTATGTGTTTGAGGCAGGATTTGAATTCAAGTCTTCTTTACTCCAGGTCCAGCACTCTATCTACTGCTTTGCCAGCTGCCCAAATGTACAAAAACATTTACAATAGCATTTTTTTTAAACTGGCAAAGAATTATAATCAAATGAGTGCCTATTCATTGGCGAATGGCTAAACAAATTACTGTATATGAATGGATGGAATACTATTGTGTTGTAAGAAAAGGTGAAAGGGTCAGTTTCAGAGAAAATTGGGAAGATCTTTATGAACTGACATAGACTGAAGTGAAGAGAACCATTTCTACAATAACCACAACATTGTAAAGATGAAACCACCTTAAAAAGACTTAAGAACTTTAAAGGATGTGATGACCCACCACAATTTCAGAGGACTCAGGATGAAGACTGCTACCCTCCAACTGACAGAAACATGATTAACTCAAGACATAGAATGAGAGATTCACAAGACAGAATGAGACACACATGAGCAGTGTGAGAATTTGTGTTGCCCAATTACGCAGATTTGCTACAAGAGTTTTATTGTCCTTTTTTGGGGGGCGGGGGGAATGGGAAGGAGAGAACACGAATGTTTGAAAAAACAAATAAAACAAAATAAGTGTTATTGAGTGAGCCTGGGAAGGAGAGAACATAAATACTTGAAAAAATAAGTAAAACAAAATAAAATACATTGAGTGGGCCTAGAGTCAAGAAAATCCAAGTTCAAATACAGCCTCAGACTTTAATAGCTGTGTGATCTGGTTCAGTCGCTTCACTTCTGCCTTGGTTTCCTCATCTGTAAAATGGGAATAACGACAGCACCTGCCTCCCAGCGTTGTTGTGAAAAGCCAATGAGTCCATGTGCTTTGCAAACCTTAAAGCGCTTTAGAAATGCTGGTTATTACGTAAAAACACAACGACTGCAGGGGTGGAGTGAGTGGCGCTCAAGGCTGCCCTCCCAGCTTACATGACGGGATCCTACAGAAGCCTCTTCTCGGGTTCAGTCTCACAACTTCACTAACAGAGCCACGCACCGGAAACTGAAGGCCCTTGGAGCAGAGGCGGTGCCTCCGACGTAAGGGGCGTGGCCTGGCCTGGCCTCGATGGGGGCGGGCCTGAAAAGGCTGAGGAGGCGGGGCCTCGAGCTGCAGAAAGCGGAAGCGGCCTCTGGCGAGTCATGTGACTCGAGTAACATGGCTTCCGCCCCGTGAGCTGCGATCCGAGCCGGAGCCTCAGGCAGTACCGGAGCGGGAGCCCCCCTAGCCGGGCGGCCTGGGCGCACGAGCCGCCGAGTGCGCACGCGCGGGAGGCGGGCTCCGGAGCCGCGAGAGCGGCCCGGGCGGAGGCGGCGGCGGCGGCGGAGGCGGCTCCCATGAGGCAGCGGCGGCGCGGGGCGGGCGAGCGCGGAGCCGCAGACGTCCCCGCCGGGCCCCCGGGCCCCGGCTCCTCGTCCCCGTTCTCCCGCTCCTCCTCCTCCTTGTCCTCGCCGCCGCCATGAACGCGGAGAAGGACTTCGCGCCCCTCACGCCCAACATCGTGCGCGCCCTCAACGACAAGCTGTACGAGAAGAGGAAGGTGGCCGCGCTGGAGATCGAGAAGTAAGAGCCGTCCCGGGGCTGGGGGGTCGGGGTTGGGGCAACCTGGGCGCCCCCGAGCCCCAGCACTCCCTGGCCGTGGGAAAGCAGGCGCCCCGGTGCGATGTTGGTGGGGGGGAGCTGCGGGAAAATGAGTGCACTGGTGCATTGTTGGTGGAGCGGAGCTGTGGGAAAGCGAGTGCACTGGTGCCTTGTTGGTGGAGCAGACAATTGGAAGATTCTCAAAAAGTCACTGGACTGGCACTTAACCGAGCAGGAAACTGAGACCAGGGAGAGGAAGGGGCTTGCCCAAGCTTCAGTGTGGGTTAGGGTGCCCTTGACCAATTTAATAGTTCTGAGCTTCATATCAAATCTTGGAAGTTGGTAGTCAGCCCTTAATAAGTGCATATTACATGTTGGACAGGGTCTTTCTTATTTGCCAAATCAGAAAACTGAGACTTGTAGAGATGGATTATTTGCCCCCAATATCAGAGGAACTTGTTGCCTTAAGGATTCCAAGCCCTTGTGTTCTTTCCAGCTGGTTCTTTCTGTCTCTTTCTTTGACTTTATGACCTGTCATTCTTTTGCCTTTGGGGTCTTTCCATTTTATGGGTTTACCATGAAAGATGTCTTATCTGTTTTCTTTCTCTGTCCCACCTTCCTCCCTCCCAAACACTGCCCCGAAATACTGATTTTAGGAATGGCAGCTCTCCCTTGGAATGAGAAAAGGTAATCGAGAACTTTTTCAGCCTTGTCTTACCCAAGGCCCAGACAAGTGAATGAATAACTCAGACTTGGGTAGCACTCTCAAGCACTCAGCACAGTGTAGCAGGTGCTTGATAAAAGTTTATTGAATGAAGTCTACAGAACCATTTCTTCTTTTCTTTTACATAGAAGGAAATGAGGTTCAGAGAGCTAACAAATGTCAGACAAAACGTGAACCCAAGTTTCAACTACTCCTTTGGAACTCTAAAGTTGTCAGTGACCAAGATGAGAAACCAGTTCTGAGAACTATCTTTTGCTGCTCTGAGTGGAATGATTTGGACCTTTGGGTGCTGATGTCCCTAAACTTAGAGTGAACATTCTCTAAAGTCTTGCTCCTGTCCCGTAGAGAAGGCATGGTGTTTGATGATAAAACTCTCAGGTGGAAATGCTGCTGAGTGTTACCATGTATTTGTTTGGTGTGGGTTTTTTGTTAGGGAGGGTGTTGTCACACAAAACGGTCTTAGTGGAATAATGACTTGTGTGGGGAGCTTCAGAAAGAAAGACGTAAGCTCGCTTATGTGCTTCCTCGCTTGGTAGGCAACGCTGGTTTCTGTTCTTACTGCCCATAGATAGTAGCTGCCAGTAGAAAGTGCCGCTGAGCTACGCTTGTTCTAAGCAGGTTATCTCAAGTACCTTTGGCTTTGGATTGTTTTTATTGATATCCCAGCTCTACTTCAGCTTTATCATGTGATAACTTATTGTTGGAGGCCCCAGAATAGAACATTTCTACCTATGTTGTGAGGAATCTTTCTCTTCCCATTTTTGACGTGTTGTCTAGCAGATGTTTCAGACGTTGATTTTTCACAGCCTTTAAATGCTCTTGTAGACTCTGCATAATCCCATATGACTGCAAAGCCACAAATGAGTCAGAGTCACAGCAATTACTCATTTATGTAGGATGAACAAGTCAGCTAATAACTTAAAAGTTATTTAAAACTTTAAAAGTCTAAAAGTGAAAAGCATGGCCTTGTTGTGAAGCATTTACCTTTAGGTTTTCTGCTGCCCTCTCCAGACAGGATGGTAGACTTGAGAGCTCCTAAGGACATTAAAGGTCCTCTGATCTCATCTGCTCCTTTTATAAACACTTTGTCAGCAGAGGAGTTGGCATTCAGAATGGAATTGTGTTGGGGATCATCCTCATCTCAAGGAAGAAAGAGAACCTGGTTCCCAGGGTAATGACATCAGATGCCTTTGTGATTTCTTGTTTTTTAAGTGTTTGGGGCATTTTGTGCCATCTTTCCTACCCCATGGTGTGCCTTTGCCAAATACATCATTACCTTGGAGTTGCTGAGGCAGTAGAACATAGCGTCTGAGGCACCACTCAGGCAAATTATGAAAGATGAGAAGGGTTTCACAGTGCTTTGAACCTCTCTGAGCAAGTACCAGCTAAACCTTTACACAGTTGTGATACTTTGATAAAATTTGGCTTCTCCTATGTGAAGCGTTACCTATGCTGTTTTGAGGAATGGAGCAGCTTTTAGGGAATGTAGAGTCATGTGCCCCAAAGGGTGACTGTAGGGGGCCAGTAATTCCACCTGCCCTCTGGCAGCAGTTCTGATTACTTTCTAGCCCCATTTTGATAAGAATTGAGAAGAAACTGAAACTATGAATGGTAACGTATAACCAAGAAGCATCTCTTCTTGGAACTAGGATGACCCTCCCCTTGCTGAGTAGACGCTTAGACAGATAAACGACCTCCCCTGTTCAGTGGAGATAGCTTGGTATGGTGGAAAGAGTGCTCAGCTTGTGTTCTGGAGAGGCTTGGCTTCAGGTCCCAGCGCCATCACTTTTCATCGTGTAACCTTGGGCAGTTCAGTTAACCTGTCTGGGCCTCAGTTCTCTCATCCCATCTCTCATGGGAATAATAAGAACATGCAGTACCTATCTCACAGATTGTCAGGAAAATGGTTAATAACACGTATTACTGGATAAGTATGGATTGTTGTTGTCCTGGAATCTAGAAACTGGAAGACATGTTTTTTAACCCTGAGATCATGAAACTGTGTGATGAGCTGGATTTGGTAAGTGCCCAGCAGATATTTATGGGGCATCTACTACATTCAGGACTGTTATGTTATCCTTGTTTCAACCTCCCCCGCCCGCCCCATCCTCAAAACCCTTTTCCAGGAAGTGAGGTATTTTGGACTGAGATTTCAGTGTGTCTATTTTGGATTTGATGGGAACACCACCTTTCATGGGAATGATAGGAGATAGTCGTTTTCAGGGTCTGGCCACATCGTTAATTAGTCATTGTACTGAAAGAAATAAAACGTTTTGCACTTGGATTTCTTGGCACCTGTCCGTTCAGATGTTTATTGAGCATCTCCTATGTCCAGAATCCTTTGAGGCATTATGGAGAATGTAAAGAAGATGACTTGATCCCTGCCCTCAAGAGCTGTGCACTCTAGAAGGAGGCCCAGGGTCTCTGTTTACATAATGCTGAGGCAAGGGAAACCATAGGAGTACAAGGGGAACAAGGTCCTGTGAACTTCCCAAGGAGGACTCCGACACTTAGGGAGCCCGTTGTGAGGTTTGCAGGTGGCATTTTATAAACAATGGCACTCGGCCCTTACAAAGGCCCTTTGAGTGACGGTGGGATATCTTCATTTTGCAGATGAAGAAACGAGTTTCAGAGACCTTCGGTGATTTTCCAGAGGCTTGGTTAGCCTCACAGTATCTCTGTCTACCAAGTCTGGAGTCTTTTCTACTTTACTTCTTGTCACAGGAAGGAGAAGATAGGAAGAGAAGTGCCATAGCTGTTTTCCTGGGAAGGAAACACTAGCTCCGAGTCCCAATTTTGAACTTGGAGAAAATAGCCAATTTTCTCTATCCTGTAAGTTCTAAGGGCATCCTCACCTGAAAGACTCCCCGTAGGACTTGCTGGTCCCCCGTGCTTTAACCCTCAATCCTGTAAAAAGCCCAGCTTTCATTTGTGTCTTATTCGAGAAGTTTCTGATCCACAAGGACTCCAAAGGATCTGTGGTCTAGTTGAAGTGAAAGAACCTATCCTAGAATAATAGCTTTAGAACCAGAAGAGACTTTGGAAGCCATCTGGGCCCACCCTCTATGTACACGAGACCCAGAGAAGGTCAGTCACGTGCCTGGAGTCACCTAGACAGCAAAGAGCAGAGGCAGCATGCCTTCATTGGGCTGCCCGTAGGGGCTCACTAGCTCAGAGATCCAAAAGGTCTGTTCTCTCCTTAGTCTCCAGCTTCTGGCCCCTCACTCCCACCTGTCATCACAGTTTGTCAAATCCTTGCACCTGGTGATTAACTTCTAGACCTTTGGAGCAGGAGTGCAAGAGGGGACAAAGTTTCTAGCTCCAACAGTTGACTCATTTCACCTTGATGACATTTGGAAACTAAATATGAATCTCTTAGCAAAGCAGGTGGTGAAGGTTGTCCCAGATTCTCTTGGGAAGTCTCAGTTCAAAATGATGATTGACTCTAGAGGCAGCTAGGTGGCGCAGTGGATAGAGCGCCAGCCTTGGAGTCGGGAGGCCCTGAGTTCAAATGCGGCCTCAAACATTTTTCACTTACTAGCTGTGTAACCCTGAGCAAGTCACTTAACCCCAAGTGCCTCACCAAAAAGCCCCCCCCCCCCCAAAAAAAAAGCAGCTTGACTCTGGAAATCTGCCGCAAACCTTGCTTTGGAAAGTGCTGTCTAAAGAGCTGTGACTGAATGCCTGAACCACCGAGAGCAGCAGGAAGAGCAGGAACTGAGACCCAGACCCACCTGAAGAAGGCTGCTCCTGCAGCTGTTACCAGTGCTGGGATGAGCAGTGAGCTCCAGCGGGCTTTGTTTTGTGCATTTAAGCTGTCAGTTCTAAGCTCCTTGAGGCCAGGGAATAGCTGTTGGTCTTGTCTTTTTTCCCCCCAGCACCTTACTGCAGTGTGTTCACTGCATTACAGTGTTTGCTGATTGAATGAAATGATTCTGTCACCTTGATTCTGGCCTTGTTTGAATGGGTCTCTGGTCAGCTAGAAGGATCCTGGATTTCCTCTTTAAGCCAGAGCAAAGACTGGGTCTGAAGGCCAATTTAAAATAGGCTTTGAATGGCCTTCTTATTCCTTTTCCTGGTTGGCAAAGCAGTTCATTAAAAGTGTGCATAAGGTTGACAGTGCGGGGAAATTGGTAGGGACTACAAGATTGGTTATTTACATTGTAGTTTTGTCATTTAGGGCAATGATTCCCAAACTATTTGGTCTCAGGACTCCTTTATCCTCTTAAAAGTTATTGAGGACTTTTGTCCGCAAGAA